TATACCTCCTACTTTGACTCTGTCTCATAGCCACTGAGGGTCCTACTAGACACCAAATCCTGCTATTACATATGAACAATTCTTAGTAAAATCAATGGGAGTTTGGGACTTATATGAACAAAGAACCTAAGTGACTTTTGAAAGTGGGATTTAGGGGCTTTTGGAAAGTTGAAGACTGCCACAGAAAAACACTTCCATGCTATACCTCCTACTTTGACTCTGTCTCATAGCCACTGAGGGTCCTACTAGACACCAAATCCTGCTATTACATATGAACAATTCTTAGTAAAATCAATGGGAGTTTGGGACTTATATGAACAAAGAACCTAAGTGACTTTTGAAAGTGGGATTTAGGGGCTTTTGGAAAGTTGAAGACTGCCACAGAAAAACACTTCCATGCGTTCAGTGTAAAATGAGGTATAAAAGGTAAATCCAACTGAAGCCAATAGGTTCTCTGTAAATCAGACCACAAATGGATGGAAGAAGGAAAGACAATATAGAAGAAACAACAAAGCAAACTCACTAGGTATAAGGTAGCCATAGGAATGGATTCACACATTGGTTTAAAATGCAGAAATAAATAAGCAATTACAATTATTCAGAGAGGAGTGATTGTTCTCTCTCCCCCCCCCCCCCCCCCAGCCCATGCAGCCATGCTATTCTTCTTTGCTCCTCTTCCAGAGATAGATAAGCAATATGTTAGAAAGGCTAGGACGCATGAACTAGGCAGTGGATACAGGCCAAGATTTTACAAGTGACAAGAGCACAAGTCCCATAGATTCCAAACTAACTGAACAGAGGTGATTCCCTTCCATATTCTTCACAGACCTGCCCTTCCTTCTCCAGTACAATCAGTTTCACTATCATGTTGTTCTTTCTTTGCCAGCCACACAGCATGCTTGTGAATCCTCCAATAGGGTTCACTTTTATGCCAGTATATACTTGCCTTTCCAACTCTACTTCATTGAGGGGGAGCATACCATACTCAAGTTATACTCTTTCATGTCACCTGCCAACCACATCCAATGTCCATTAATTTATGTGAAAAGAGTGGCAAATACACAGAGGCACACTGCATATGTAGCAGTCACCTTTCCTCATTGTGCAATCACTGTAGTCTCGTTTCTGACTTGATTACGGTAGCTAATAATTTTCCCCTCTCCCCTTTTTGTGCAGATGGAAGTGAGCTTTAGAGCCATGGTTACTGAGCAGTAGATCATATGAAAGAACAGCTGAATACTTTCATAGAACAATGCTAATGGAACAGCACTACAGAGAAAGGAAAATACTCATTCACAAATAAACGCTCTATTTTGAAGCGACTTTTACTTCATTTCCACACAAAGACTAGACCAGCTGTGTCTTAAAACAACATTCAGATCATCTATTGTTTCAGTTATTAATGGCGTCATATTTATATGCATTTCAAAATAAAGCAGCAAAGAATAAGAACATAAATCAGAAATAATTCTCTATTACAGCTGTTCTCTGAAAATCTGTACTATGCAGCAATACTTTTTTTTTAAATAAAACTAGAAGGGACCTTGAAAGGTCATCAAGTCTAGTTACCTGCTCTCACAGCAGGACCAGGTACCATCCCTGACAGATTTGCCTCAGATACCTAAATGGCCCCCTCAGAGACTGAGCTCACAACCTTTGGTTTAGCAAGGCAATACTCAAGCCACTGAGATATCACACCCCCTAACCAATAGCCCAACAGAGACACTGCAAACAGTGTAATGTATATACATAAGCCTGTCTGGTATCTATATCATAGATGACAAAGTTTCTGTTAAAATGATTTCTAGAACTTCAGTAAAAACACACACACACAACCTTACCGGCAGGTGCAATTGACCAATCCATGCTATCTTTTGTACCATGAATACCAGTGAATGTCTATAATTATACAGGGTTACTCACCTTCCTAGCAGCAAAAACTCTCCAGCGAGACCCAAGCGCCTCATGGCCATTAGCAGCCCTCTTACTGTCATGCCCTCACAGAAGCAGGCAACCACTCTTGCTTTGGGCAGGTGGCTTCTTAACTTTTTCAACAGCTTGTCAAAACTCTGTTCACCAGCATTGCTATAGATCTTGTAGGAATGAGCAATGCAGATCCCCTCCTTGGCTGACATATCTTTGAAGGCTTCCATTCCGCTCTCACCATAGTTTCCTAAATGGAAACAAAGAAACCCCAGAGATGTAAATTAATAGATTAAAATGTTGAGGTGGTCCATATTAGGAAATAAATGATCAGATTAAATGCTCTCAACATTGATTCTAACAAGGAATGGTTAAGAACTATTCTTTTCTTTTAAGAGAACACAATGTTTACAACAAAATGTTTATAAATCACAGAGCTAAGCATTCCCTTCAGCGTCTGCTAAATTGACTGAATTAGTTTAGTTGCTTTCAGGTTTTTGACAGTTTTTAAAGGGTAAAATTAAGTGTTCAGAAGTATTTGTTTGTTTTACTCTTGCTTTAAAATGCAACATTCTGAATGCTAAAAAAGACTAATTAGCAGAAATGTGACTTTGCACATAATGCAATCTTCAGCATACCGGTTTTTTAAACATGTTAATAAAGAGTGCATGGCAAAAGTAATCTTCTGAGGAACTGACCTTTTCTGTGCTTCTCTCAAGAAAATATGGTAAAACTGAAGACACTAAAGGTCATGGCATGCTAAAATGCTGGGTTTGCTTTTGGCTTTGGTTTTTTTAAATTAAAGTAGTAATGTAAACCTGAACCAGAACTTTTATGCTGCCCCTTACCCAAAGGAGAAATTCCTTGTAAACATCACACATCAACCTAATTATCTCTTAAATGTTTCCTTAAAACATTCCTTCACTAAAAACTTGACAATGATTTGGCCATTGGTGTCCTGAGACTGAGGCTTAACATGCAGATAATTTGTCTGATAGTTTCCTTGTCTCTCAGACAGTCAGTCTATATTCACCAGTTGTCCCTTGTCTTGTATAGAAAGTGCTTTGAAGTGCTTTGAAGCAATGACCATCTCTTTGTTGTCTTTGTTGCCTGATTGCATGGCACATAGCACAAAGGAAATATAGGAATTTACTACAATGGAGACATTGGAAAGATTATTGTGTTGAATGGTTGGCCCTGGATGGGAGAGTTTGGATGTCTAGCTCTGACAATGTCTTGCTAACACTCTCTGACTTTGTTTGTATTATGGTAGACTTTAGAGGTCTATTGGGGTAGGCACTATAGATAAACTTAATAGGAGACTGGCCCCACCTTGAAAAGCATGCACTCTGAATATGTAGGACAGACAAAGGGTGGGAGAAAGGAAATATTTTGACACAGGGAGTTGAAATGAGAAATGAGACACAGGGAGTTGAAGTGACTTATGAAAGGTCCTATCATCAATGTGCAGCAGAACCAAATCTGAACTTAGACCTGCTGGTTTACAGTCTAGGTTCTCAACTGGTGGTCCATGGTGACTTTTTCAGTGGTCCACAGGAACATTGTCCAAAGTCACAAGGTATGAGCAGGCGCCGCCATTAGGCTGTTTTACGCCGTGTTCACAAGCACATGGTGTGTCATCCACCTCAAAAAGGAGGTGGTCCACGAAAATTTTTTGATTGGCCTGGTGGTCCATGCACTGAAACAAGTTGAGAATCACTGGTCTAGTGTCTTAACCACAAAATGATACCCTTTCCCCCATATCAGGACTACAACTGGTCCAAATTCAGAATTCTGCCTCATTGAAATCTGAATGAACATTCAAAATATCAACAATTCTCACAAAACAGAAAATTCAGAAACTGGTTGATTTAAGAATGTTAAAAATGTCTCATTTTGGCTCAGTTCAATATCAGTCTGTTTTCCTTTGTGCTACTGTTGTGTCTCATTGAAATGTAGTTTTTGAGTCTTATGGGCATGGTCCATTCTAATTTATGGGTCTGGGTCCTCAGTCAGATGCATCTCCTATTGCGTTCCACAATTACATGGCTCACATGAGGTGACACATCAGTTCATCCAAAGGCTGAGACTTCAGTAAATCATGTAGTAAATCATGTAGTCTAACCAGGGAACCCACCCTATAGACTATATGGAGTCATTACATACTCATACTGTAACTTGAAGGCGGTCCTGCAGCACCCAAGGCCTACAAAATTAGTGTCTGAATGACCCAAACTGAAATATCCATTTGGTTTGTAAAACACCCACAACATTTCAGTGTAGATCACTATGACCAAACAAAATTATTTCTTTTGATTTTCGCAATAGACGTCTCAAAAAATTTCAGTAAAATTAAGATGTGTTGATTTTGATTTTGTAGAAACGTCCTTTCCATTGAAATAAAAAATTCAGTGGAAAATTCCTAGACAAGGTGTAAAACACTCAACCCCTCAGATGAAAGCAAAAATACAAACTATTATCTTAGGCATTCTATAAAACTCAGGAGAGGTTTGACTACAGTTTAGCACAAGTAGCAATTTTCTCAATGAATGTCCCAGCCATTGACTCTTTTATAGTCAAATACTATTATGTCACAAATATATTGGTCATATAATATTTCAAGGCCATAATTTTGTTACACCATTCAGGATGTACCTCATATAAAATGAGAGAAAGTGCTTCAACATAATGAGGCCACTTACCAAATTATGCAAATTTTCAACATTCAGAACAAACCTACCTTGATAGTCTAACTCTGAAAGAGACTGGGTTTCCAAGGTGGGAAAACTCTAGCTGTGTGGTGTGACAGTCAACAAAAACAGAATGCAGCTTAGTGTCAAGATACTGGTACAAATCCACTTGTCATAATTGTTGCTGATTAAACTACTTAATTAATTATTCAAAGAGAAGTCCCCTGTTGTGGAGTACTTTTGATGAGGTATGTATATTTAGCTAGACTGTAGTGGTACTGAACATTTTCAAGTGGAAAAATAATCATTGCTGTTAGATTCCCTTATATCACAAAAAAAGTCTGAATTTCCTTAAAGCAATATTTCCCCTCCAAGAAAAAAACAACAACAACAACAACCACAAACAGGAAAGACTGAGAATGTAGGAAGTTATGTGAAGTTTTCATCAAGAGTTTCTTCCACATATCTTCCTCAATTATAAGGAATTAGAGATGGGGGAGTTCATGGCTGAAGACACCCTTGGCAAGTTGATGGAGCCCTACACTTCTCAAAGAAACAGATCTTATTCATATTACGTGTAGTCTTGGAAAGAGTAAAACTTTATTGGTGTCAATAAATGTCAATTTTTCCCACAATCAATGAAAAATATTTCCATTAATAATCATATAAATTTACATATAGACAAAGTAAGAAAATGCTGCTTGAAAATTTATTAGAATTTAATTTAAGGATCTTTGCTTTTTTTTAAGAATAGGTTAGACAAAGACCTTTTAGAGATGACCTAGATCAGGAGTGGGAAAAATATGGCCTGCAGGTTTTATCTGGCCCACCAAACTACTGGCTCTGCTCTGCAGCCCAGTGGGAGCCCCATCCGACAGGTACCCTGCCTACTCCAGCCCTGCATGATGCTCAGAGCAGCTGACGGCAAAGGCCATGTGTCTTTCTCTGAACACTGTGAACCTGGGGCGAGGGGCTTCACTGCACTCATCCCATACACAATCTTGCAGCTGCCACTGGGAGCTACCTGTTTGCAGGACAGGTAGTGCATAAAGTGTTCCCCCGCCCGAGTTCCCAGCTTTCTGAGAAGCACATGGCCTCTGCAGCCAGCTGCTCTGAGCAACCTGTGGAGGAAGGACAGGCAGCAAGCCTGTCTGAGGAACTTGCTGGGCTGCTGGTTGGGAGCTGCCCAGGCATGTGCCTTCTGGCCACAGCCTGCCTCTGGCACCCCAGCCTCTGCCTACCCTCTTGCTCCACTACTCTATCCCATACTCTGCACCCCAATCGCCTGTATATTTGTTCTGGGTCACAAACCCCTCCAAGACTCTGCACCTCCTGCTACACCCCTCGGCCAGGTTAGAATTCTCTCCAGTATCCATACCTTCTCCTGCCCCAGATCAAAACCCTCTCCTGCATCCCAATACCTTACCCCAAGCTCCTTCTGCACCCAGATCCTGCACCTTCTCCATTAATATCATGGAAGAGCACCGCCCTTGCCAACTTACCAAATTCTGGAAGTGTTCCCCTATTTTGACATGTGAGGTTGACAATGTGTGCTTTAATGGTTATAAAGCTTTAGCTATTTGAATCTCGGCATATACTGTCATTACATAATATTCTTTGATTCCATGTGCTCTTCCTTACCATAATTTCCCAGGACTGACAATTTAAGTTGCTAAAACATAAAATTAATGCTTAAAACCCATAATTCCACTGAACTATGAAAATGTAAATTGATAAAAAATTTAAAATGCAATTTTATCCATTGAAATTGTATAAAAATGAAATTTTGCCATGCCTAATTATGTGATATCTATGTTGTGGTATATGAAAGACACAACATGGGTGACCATATTTACTCGGCTCCAAAGTGGGTTGCCTGGGCAACATTCCCTTGTGGCTCCTCAATGAGTGACTTACCTATTTGCAGGTCCCTGACAGTTGGGTGCCCTCCATTCTGGGACTAGCACTACAATACCTTAACCCTTCCAGCTATGACACATATAAGTCCCATCCCTGCTGGGGCATTAGAATGCAAAATGAAAGGAAAACTAAATTTAAAACCAGGGTCATCCAAGGATTTCTCAGCAAAACCCCACCATTATACTCGGGTTTCTCTGTGTATCCAGTCTCTTTTGTCATTCTCCCTGTGCCCACTTGTCCCATCCACACAGTAGGCGACTCACCCAGGTAGCAAGCTGTCTCCAGTTCTTGGCTGGAGTCAGGCTTCCCTCATGAAGGAAGAAAGAGAGCTGGGCCTCTTTCATTTAAGGGTTCTCTCCTCTCTGAACAATTCTTGCAGGTAAATTGGGATAGGACTAACTGGGTATGTCTGGACTACATGGCTCTGTCGCCAGAGCCATGTAGATTAGTTTACTAGACATACCCAAATGAAGTGGTGATTTAAATAATCGCCACTTCATTTAAATTAAAATGGCTGCTGCGCTGAGCCGATCAGCTGTTTGTTAGCTCAGCGCGCTAGTCTGGACGCTCCGCGGTCGACATCAAAGGAATTTGTCGACCACCCCGGTAAACCTCATCCCACGAGGCATAACGGGGAGGT